CTTTGAAGAGGTTGCTAAGCTCATGTTGCATACGCGCTGCCCAGATCGGTATAGCCTACTTCATGCTCTTATACATTTCGTCAATGATGCCCTGGAGAAAGATGGCAAGGAATTCAGATGGATAATGCTATCAAATTACCTTGAAAAGACACGATGCAAAATACATATGTATCCATGAATCGCACGTGTGAATCATACCTGATAATATTTGAGGAGCTGCGGCCGCTTCTTCTTGTAAGTCGGGGTGATGAGGTCGCGCTCCATGTCAAAGAGCACCGGCTCCAGATGAACAGCCCTGATCATCTCAAAGCCTTTGAGCTGTTGCAACAAAATCAGAGAACGATCATGTCTCAGATATATCTGTCAAGGTCATCACATATTCACATGTGACATTGTTCCAAAAATTGTTGGTATGTTTAACTACTACTAGCCAGGTTAACAACCCACCTTCTTCTCTTTGCCAGTTTTGCTCAGTTCTTCCAAGATGAACTCTTTCGCTTTAGCATCTCCGCATATCGAGGCAAAGTCTCCGCTAACCCCGTTCGACTCAGCCCATCGTTCCAGACCTTGCTTGTTGGGGTTGATCACCGCAACCAGGCATGATTCGAAGCTGTTTCCGTACACCCAAATCTGAAGAAATTCGTCTAAGTTAGTGGGTAGCACATGGATTTTTTTTTATATAATGCTGTGGAATACTCGGGGCAATGAGTGCGTGGAGGTTGTCCCCGGACTATACCGAATCGACATTAGGAGCTTGACCAAATATGTTCTCTAGATTCTCAACCGCGACGTATTCTCCTTGGGAAAGCTTGAAGATGTTCTTCTTGCGGTCGATGATCTTCATGCTTCCATCATGCTGCCACTCACCAATGTCTCCTACAGTAAGATGTGGAAACGAGCGCATCCAGAAGAAGCATTCAGAGAGACTGGTATGTTAAAGACCTTATAATGGCAGGTTAAATGGCTGTTTTATGATGAGCATCCTATTGGCGAATATGTCTACAAAATATTTGGTTTCCTCTTGCCATTCGTGACTGACATTGACATCATACCTGTGTGGAACCAGCCATCGACCAAGACTTCCTTGGTGAGGTCTTCTCGCTTATAGTACCCTGAGAACAAGGTGTCCCCTCTGATGCAAATCTCACCACGAGGTGATTCTTTTGATAATGCATCATAACCCATCTCAGGAACAGACTCTAAGCGTACTTCAACGTATGGGACAGGAGGGCCGACAGTTCCCAGCATGGACATGTTGTTTGGCAACGAAACAAAAGACCCAGCACAGGTCTCTGTGAGACCTATAAAAACAACCAATTACAATCAAGTTAGTCAGGTATCTCAGTAACTACTCAAGATTTTTTTTTCTTTTCGCTGAATTCTGTGCAATAAAATCATAATATATGGCTATAAGCATACCATAGCCTTGGAGAACATGAGAGCATGTAACGACACGCAGAAACTCCTCGACATGATTAGATAGAGGAGCTGCGCCTGATAAAATTACTCGCACTCTACCACCTAGTCCTCGTTTCACCTATACGGTTGTATGATAAAATGAAAGCTGAACTCAGCAGAAACATCAGAGTTTAGATCAGAACTGCCATTTTAGAATTATTCTCATTTTGGAGTACCTTGGTGAAGACTAGTTTGTCGAAAATAGAAGCAGCATCTTCATGCTTGCTTCCTTTTATCATGTTCCCTTGTTTGCTGCAGAATCATTTAGTATTCAGAATAAAAGAACAATAATTTCATCACCAAGTCAGAGAAAAGACTTGACTAGAATGATCAGATAAAATCTTACTATTTGTACGCAACATTGAACAATGTCTTCTTTAGGAAGCCACCAGTTGAGACTTTATCTTGAAGTCCTGAATCAAAGAAGCAATGCAATATTATCACCTGCCCATATGGTAGAAGAATAATATTAACCTGCATAATACATTTGGATTTCAGGTTTAATACTGTACCTCCATAGATTCTGTCTAGCACACGTGGAACAGCACAGAATATTGTTGGTTTGAGTTCTCCAATGTCTTCAACCAAGAGTTTGACATCCTGAAGCAGATTGTTTATTGATCAGAATGTGCTACTTTGATAAGAAGAAAGCAACAAGCAATAAACAGTGTGTTTCTTCCATCCTTACTCCACGCCAAAATCCAATTGAGGCCCCGTGGTGAATGAACACCTCCTCAATCACACGGTCAAATATGTGGGCAAGCGGAAGATAAGAAATGTAAACATCATCCTCACGAATCTGTTAAAACGAAATCAGAACCAAAAAAAATGAGAATATATCGCAAAGGTACTGAAAACTGCAGTGAAATATGAATAGCTGCACCTGTTCATTTGAATTGTGAAGGAACTCATCCACTGCTGAAACAATGGTGATAATACTCTTATTAGAGATTAAAACTCCCTTTGGATCACCAGTTGTTCCACTGGTATACATTATCGTGCATATGTCAGCCTTATCCTTTGGAGGGAGTTCATACTTCTCTTCAGCCCCATCTCCCTGTAGGTGTAATAGTAAATAAAGTTAGTTATTCTAGTGTCAGATGGATATAAAATCATATTGCTCACAAGGATGTCCTTAAAATTCAACATATAGTTAAAGCATATACAAGAAAGAGTGTGGTTGACATATTAGTAGCTCCATTTTCACAAGACAGTTGTCTCAGAAAGTGAGAACCTTACCTTAAGCACAAACTCGGACCATGAGTAGATAGACAATCCGTTCTGCTCAACCTTTTCCTTCTCATCAGGGCTGACCTTACCAAAGCTCACGATGGCTTGAAGCAAAATTTGACCATATCAACAAAACATATACATGGCACTATAGCTTAACAACAGAGAACTAACTCATGTCTAACTCACTCTTCAAAAATTTGGTCGCGTTTGGTAATGTCTTGAGTACCTGAAAAGTAGCCCACAAAATATATTTGAAACACTAAAAAAAAAAGGTAGATCACATGTAATAGAGTCGCCAACTTCTACATGCACTGTGCTATGATGATTCTAATAAATCAATTAACACATTTGTATGTCATATCTTACAATCTCCTTGGGTGTTTATTAGGAAAACAACCTAATAGTTATATAATATACAATGGAATTACCGAATTAGCACGGAATGTAGAACTCCAGGCTATTCTATCCGAGATAAATAGTCATTTTACTGACCTGGTTGCTTTGAAAGAGATTCTTAATAAACAAAGCACTGAGATTAGCCAAGTACTCCCTCTATTCCAAATTATTTGAAGTTCAAGCTTTGTCCTAACTCAAACTTCTCTTAAGTTTTGACCAAGTCTATAGAAAACTATGATAATATCTATAACATTAAATATATATAGTATGAAACTATTTTATAAAATTTAGTGTTGCAAATGTTGATATAGATTCCTATAAACTTAGACAAACTTAGAAAAGTTTTACTTATGACAAGATAGAGTTTCAAATAATTTGGAACGGAGGTTAGTACTACAACATGCTTTCTAGTATTGGAACATATAATTAAACCAGTTGGTGTTCCAGTGGAGCAATGTACCTCTCCAATCTTCTTCTCCTCCACAAAAGCAATTTCGACCTCTGCATGGCACAATATAAATTCTATTGCCCCAGCACCTAAAAACATCAATCAATGGGATATGTCAGCATGCCACTGTTAAACAACTTCTAAACTCAAAATTCTAACATGTGAGAGCATGCATCCATGTTCTGGTGCTCACTGTTTCAGCTACCATATATATATTTCAATATCCAGTGAAACCAAGAAAAACTTACCAAGTGTGTCATACAATGGAACACAGTAAATGCCATGGGCATTGCAGGCCTAAGAAAATAAGCAAAGAAAAACAATTAGTGATGAGAAAATAGTATTTTGATACAACACAGCTAGGAGATTCCTAGTGCAGAGGAATACACACAGTTTTTTTCCACATTTTCTTCTTTAAAGACGGTTAGAAAAATATGAACAAATGTATGAGAAACTTTTTTTTAGCTTTGGGTAGAACAGGCAAATTTGGTGTAGGACATGTAGCTAAAAGTGGGGCCTTTCTTTTGGACATTAGGATACTGGGGGTCCACAAATTGGACTAATGATTTCATAACACTATCTAATGAAGACGGCAACATAACCAAATTGGTAACACACTAACATCCATTGTTTCTAATTTGCCCCACGTATTAAGCATCATTAATCCATACAGTGATGATATGTATTGCATACCTGCATACTGACAACCCACTCAGGGCTATTGCCTCCATAGATACCACATCGTCCTCCCTGCAGATGATCAAGGAGCAACCAATCAATCAGTAAGTAGTTTCTGAACAATACCAAACACTAGCCACACATAATAATACTGAAAGGAACCATGAACCGTTCCCAATTTTGTAGTGTTATCTCAGAGAAAAAGGAGTGGGCAAGATCATGGAACAAACATCAAATGCCCTGATCGCTGGTGGCACATACCTTGTTGATGCCACAGCTCCGGATTGAAGCCCCCACCTTGATCACAGTGTCGTATACTTCTTTGTAAGTCACCCATGTGTACTTGCCAGCCTGATATGAAATTGACACAGGGTAGGAGATTGCAAATTAATCCGCCACAACAAAACTGAGAGGCATTGAGTGCAAACGTATGAACTGAGGGCCATGGACCAACCTTTCCGTCCACGATTTCACGGCGGCCCATCATCGGGTTGTCAGGGTACTTTTCCACAGACAAACTGTACACATGCAAGCAATCATATTATTAGGAGACTAGAATGATGTTTCTGTAGAGAGAATACATTTATTTCACACAGAAATTGGATAGGATTTTTAGCATTCAGAATGACTATGTTCAGCTGTAGTTTGGTTTTCTGGTTTCAGATGTAGATTGGACATAAGGACAAGGTTTGGTTATGAAGTATGTAGAAATTGTGTCAGCGTTACGGTTTTTACCTGTTTGGTAGCATATCTGTAATATTATAAGATGTAAATATTTCTGTTATGGTTTTTTACAAGTTGTGTACTCCACCTCAGTATGTAAATATTTTATTCCCAAGTTTGCAGACACGACAGAGCAAAACAAGGCTGACGCTTTCAGTTTTCTTGTGTGACGTTAAATTATTCTACGTAGCATCAGGTTCCTCTGAATGCATGCCTGCACTGAATCTTCTATCTAATTCCGACGAGGAGGAAACCACAAGACGTTTCTGCGTGTGAATAACCGATGGATTTTTATATTTAATTTAAAAATCGCCAACGAGTGTCACCGTTACGTCAACAATTGCGTATATACTGTACAAAATAAAAGGCAGCGGTTTGAACGGCTCGAAGGTATTATAGCTAATTGTGGCCGCATTGCGGGATTGTTCGAAGGATTCAGCAGCTCCATGATAAGAAGAAATCGACCAGAGGGAACAACACAAACAGGATCGATGATCTATCCGAGACCGACCGAACGATTGACAGCTCTGTAAATTATTCCGGAGAGGCAGAAACGAAACGAAATCAAATCGAGCAGCCGTACCGGAATATGTCCCAGCATGACTCGAGCCCCGGCACGGCGGGCGGCGACGCCCCGCCGGAGCCGGCGGCGCAGCGGTAGACGGGCCCGGCCGACGGCGCGCCGCCCTCCTCGGGCGCCGCCTCCCTCCCCTCCGCCACCTGCACCAGGTACTTCCTCGTGGCGTCCGCCATCCCTCCCTCTCTCTCTCTCTCTCCTCTCGTACGCGGCCGACGCCTTCCCCGATCTCTCTCGCTCGAGAGGAATCCACAGCGGATGGGAAAGGCAAGGGAGGCGGCACGGGATGGGAAGGAAGGCCAGGCTTGGCTTGCGCTCCAATATAGGAGTACGGCGCAGGTGGTTGCTGCATTCAAAATAGATAGAATAATTTATTATTTCTGATTGTATTTTTTCAGAATAATATAATTGTATTTATTTTATTAGCATGACGTGCGGCGTACGGTCATACTATTTTCCCTTTCTTGCTTCCGTAGACAGAGAAAGAGATTCAGATGTACTAATTCGCAAACAAGAAAAAACAGAGATTTAGATGTAGGAGTAGTAGTTGGTCAGCGAGAAAAAGCGGCAATAACTATGAACAGAGAGGAACAGGTTAGTCATGTTTAATTCTGGGCAAGAGGGGTCCAACTTGGCCAACGGGGCCACTTTGTTGAACGCTGACATGATCATCGATCGCCGCCTTCTAGAACCTGAAAAGCATTGCGGATTGTTCAGGGCATGTTCAATGCTAATCATTAGGGCCTCCTTTGGTTCAGAGGAATTTCATAGAAATTCTAGAAGACAGGATTCTTATAGGATTTTTTCCTTTAGAGGCCTTTGGTTTATAGGGATGGATTCCTATTCCTACATAGGATTGGTTCCTATCCTTCACATTTCATAGGGAAATAAAAAAGAGCCTAGACTCAATGGAAAAATTCTTTTGATGTCAACCAAATGACATCTTGTTTCCTATTCCTACTCATAGAATTTGAGATACATGTCATCTCATTTCCTACAAGATTCCCTCTTTTGGTTCATAGGATAGGATTATCATAGGAATAGGAATCTTGTAGGAAATGAGATGACATGTATCCCAAATCTTATGAGTAGGAATAGGAAATTAGATGTCATTTGGTTGACACCAAAGGAATTTTTCCATTGAGTCTAGACTCATTTTTTATTTTCCTATGAAAAGTGGAGGATAGGAACCAATCCTACGTAGGAATAGGAATCTATTCCTGTGAACCAAAGGGCTCTAAAGGAAAAAAATCCTATAAGAATCCTATCATCTAGAATTCCTATGAAATTCCTCCAAACCAAAGGAGGCCTAAACCGAACACCGTATCGGTCCGTGGACCAGTGATGACCAGTCCACGAGCACCGATGCAGGAGCTGGCTATCCAACTATAACCATAAATGTCTGGAGACATTTCAAACGGAATTTAACAAAATTAAACAATTTGATGCAAATTCAAACAAACCGGACGAATTTCACTCGAACTTGTATAATATTTACATAAACCGAATGATTTTCACCTAAACCAGAGCACATGCATTACATTTTCGACATATTTCAACTGAACTCTATTCTAACCTAGTTTAAATGATCGCCGACGCCCGTTTTCCATGACATGTCTTCCCCGTGTTCGGCACAGCAAGCTTGTCAGCCGCCCATGAGCTTCGGAAACTAAAGCTCCGCCTCCATGAAGCGGGCAGCAGCTAATCGACCAACAATGATGAGCCCGCAAAGCTTAGCTCAATGGGAGGGGAGGAGTAGTGGCCTTCGTGGGACCCAAGTGTCGGCGGCCTCCGATGCTATACTCTTCCTTGCTATAGGCGATGTCTGTGGACGTGCCGACATCATCGTCGTGACGTTGGGGCATGGTCGACACAGAGTTGGCAAAGTTGCCCGTATCGTCGTAAAATTCTGCCGCCGCCTCATCGATCTCCGCTCTGCCTGCAGGACGTGGTGCCGTCATCGCTCGCGACAGATGTCACGGGCGGTGCGGTAGGACAAGAGCAGCGCCTCGTGCTCTCCACGTCCACGTCTGTCATGATGCTCATGCCAGCCACAATTTGCTCCTCCACGCGTCGGTGCTCGTCGAGGAGGCGGAGGTTGTACCTGTAGTCTGCATGCGCTTGTCGGAACGCGGCCTCCTGCTCTTCCAACATCATGTCAGTGTAGTGTGCCCGTGCTCGTCCATAGTGATGTCAACATTGCCGGACGTCCGCAGCCCCCAACCACGCGCCCACTCGCCTTGTACAAAGGCGTCGTCCACCCAGGATCCGTTCGCGGCCAGGTATTGTCAACCCCCTTGTCGATGTCGTTCATGACAGACACCACGCCCGACAGGTGTTCGGTCAAATGCCATTGAGCTTATTTTTAAACTTTGTGTCATTTTTTATAATAAGAAGGATGGCAGGGGTACTCGATGAAGGAGGATGAGTTGTTGAGTGGTACGTGGTTGGTCGTTGAAGGAAATATGCCCTACAGGCAATAATAAAGTTGTTATTTATATGTCCTTATATCATGATAGATGTTTATTATTCATGCTAGAATTTTATTAACCAGAAACTTGATACATGTGTGAATACATAGACAAACAGAGTGTCCCTAGTATGCCTCTACTTGACTAGCTTGTCAATCAAAGATGGTTAAGTTTCCTAGCCATACACATGTGTTGTCATTTGATGAATGGGATCACATCATTAGAGAATGATGTGATGGACAAGACCCATCCGTTAGCTTAGCACTATGATTGTTTAGTTTGTTGCTATTGCTTTCTTTCATGACTTATACATGTTCCTATGACTATGAGATTATGCAACTCCCGAATACCGGAGGAACAGTTAGTGTGCTATCAAATATCACAACGTAACTGGGTGATTATAAAGATGCTCTACAAGTGTCTCCGATGGTGTTTGTTGAGTTGGCATAGATCGAGATTAGGATTTGTCACTCCGATTGTCGGAGAGGTATCTCTAGGCCCTCTCGGTAATGCTCATCACTCTAAGCCTTGCAAGCAATGTGACTAAGGAGTTAGTTACAGGATGATGCATTACGGAACGAGTAAAGAGACTTGCCGGTAACGAGATTGAACTAGGTATGGGGATACCGACGATCGAATCTCGGGCAAGTAACATACCGATGACAAAGGGAACAACGTATGTTGTTATGCGGTTTGACCGATAAAGATCTTCGTAGAATATGTAGGAACCAATATGAGCATCCAGGTTCCACTATTGGTTATTGACCAGAGATGTGTCTCGGTCATGTCTACATAGTTCTCGAACCCGTAGGGTCCGCACGCTTAACATTCGATGACGATTTGTATTATGAGTTATGTGATTTGATGTACCAAAGGTTGTTCGGAGTCCCAGATGATATCACGGACATGATGAGGAGTCTCGAAATGGTCGAGACGTAAAGATCGATATATTGGAAGGCTATATTTGGACATCAGAAAGGTTCCGAGTGATTCGGGTATTTTTCGGAGTACCGGAGGGTTACGAGAATTCGCCGGGGGAAGTAGTGGGCCTTAATGGGCCATACGGGAAAGGAAAGAAGGGCCTCAAGGGGTGGCCATGCGCCCCCCCATGGAAAGTCCGAATTGGACTAGGGAGGGGGCGGCGCCCCCCTCTCTTTCCTTCTCCCTCTCCTACTCCTTCCCTCTCTCCGCTCTTGGAAAAGGAAGGGGACTCCAACCAGGATTGAGAATCCTAGTTGGACTCCCCCTATAGGCGCGCCCCTCCTAGGACGGCCTCCTCTTCCCCCGTCCTTTATATACATGGGCACGGGGGCACCCAAAGGCACTCCAAGATTTGTCTTAGCCGTGTGCGGTGCCCCCTCCACAGTTTTCCACCTCGGTCATATTGTCGTAGTGCTTAGGCGAAGCCCTGCATTGGTAACTTCATCATCACCGTCACCATGCCGTCGTGCTGACAAAACTCTCCCTCGGCCTCAGCTGGATCAAGAGTTCGAGGGACGTCACCGAGCTGAACGTGTGCGGATCGCGGAGGTGCCGTGCGTTCGGTACTTGATCGGTTAGATCGCGAAGACGTTCGACTACATCAACCGCGTTACTAAACGCTTCCGCTTTCGGTCTACGAGGGTACGTGGACACACTCTCCCCTCTCGTTGCTATGCATCTCCTAGATAGATCTTGCGTGACCGTAGGAATTTTTGAAATACTGCGTTCCCCAACAGTCATATCTTCTGACTTCGTATGCAAGAGCAGAAGGGGGGTCTTTTGACAGCGTGTGCAAGGTTCGTTTCATGCGCGAAGCACATTGCGCCCTGTGGCATGCACATCATCCATGAATGTCAAGTCCTTGGCATATCGATGGTACAACATCCAGAACTCCGTCACAAAGTATTGTGGCGTGGTTGATCGGCTGGAGACAATGTGGTAATTGCACGCAACAACCATGGAGATCGTAAGTTTTGTTTCTCCTTGCTCTACATGTTGACTCATTGATTCATTCATCCATTGTTGTTCTACACATTGTGTAGCCTGCACACACTACTATGATGTACTACAGGTCAACTCTTGGACTCAACATCAATGGACTCTTATTCAACTCTTGGACCAGTGATCCCTAGTTCCCATCGTTTTCTCCCACTATGTCGTGCTTCCATCAAACGCTTATCGTACTCCCTTACCGCCTCCAATAAGTCAGACACTGGAGGAAGCCGTGTTGGTGCTAGACCGATTCCCCATCATCACTTGAGTTTTAGAGTCATTTCTCTACTTATCAAAATGTAAATGCTATATATTGTAACCATTGGATACCAATTGGATATAGGATACCCGATGGGTATGTGTATGGGTGTCAATTTGTGCCTATGGGTATTAAAACGGGTGGGTATAGAAAGTTTTTGTGGGTATGGGTTTGGGCGGAAGGTGGTTGCACCCACCTATACCCTACCCATTGCCATCTCTGGCCGCCACCGGCTTCACCAATGCCGTTGTAGAGCACCGCCTGACGAAGACCTCCACTAAAGCCCTCATCTCCTTCTCCGGCAGCAGCAGCCCTACAAGACCTCCAAGATTTTTCCACCAAGCCACCCCTGAATCGGACCTCCCCGACATCGTTAATGCGAAGCGGCCTTTACCCAGCGACATGCCCCAGAGGTGGCGAGAGGGGAAGGCGGCAAGAGTATGGCAATCACCTTAGAGCCTTCGCGAGCGTT